GTGTTCTAAATCGTATACACAATTCTGAATGGATGCACTTTTTCAAAAATTGTTTTTGAGATAATGATTTAATTTAGAATGTTAACGTAAATGATAATGCAGGTAAAACCGAAGTTGAACCATTTAGTCAGCCATGGTGGACTGACCCCCATATCCTGTGCAATTTAATTTTAATTTCCTTGATTCTTGATATTTTTTATGTCGTTGATGACAAAAAAAAAATGTAAAAAATAACAAAAAGAGAAAGAAATAAAGGTGGGTGAAATCCCCACAAAAGAGAAAAAAAAAAATTTTGTTTTGAAACTATACGGTAAACGTCTCTTAATTCGTAATTATTTTTTTATTATCTTTAAAAAAAGGATAAGAAAACACATAATATATGGGAAAGAAAAGATGAAAAGAAAGGAAATGAAAGACAAGATGAAAAGAAAAAGATAAGATGTAAGAAGGAAAAAGAAAAGATGAAACAGAATGAAAAGAAAAAGCAAAGAAAAGAATAGAAGGAAATATTAGATGAAAAAAAGTATTTATTACATTTCAGTAGCCCTAGGCCTACAAATAACGGCATATTTTGAATGTCATCTGAAAATATAAAAAAAATTACCATCTTTCAGTGCATTCAATGCATGATGGATTTCAAGGATTTCCAATGAATCAATGAATTCCTTCATATCTCCGTCAATGATTTCCATTCTGTTTTCAAAATCAGTGATCATACTCCAACTGTCAGTATATTTTTTAAGAGGCATATTATGCAATCCATCAATTTCCCTCACATCGGCTGAGGTCAGTTTCATCCCACATTTCATTAGTTTTCGTCTGTGATTTGTGAACCGTTTTGTAATGATTCCATCCTTAACATCTGGGAATGATCGTAGTCTTTCTACAATCTTTTGATGAAGACCAACATGTTCAGTTATGATGATGGTATCACACAAAATACCAATATCTTTTAAATGCAAATGATTATGTGTAACCAATTCATTCAGTAATTCCATTGTGTTAGTTATTCCTGATAGTCTCCCAATTTCGACATGATCTCTGAACAACACTTTCAACATAGGAAGACATCTGTTGCTGTCATACCACTTGGAGACATCCATTTTAAGAACATTGAATTGCTTAACTGTCATTCCTTTGAAAAAGAAATAACATATCAATATCATATTATATTTGCATTTAGTAGATGTGCAATTTTGTATGGATGTTATAATCAAATATTGCTAGAAAGTGAATCTCTCTATCTTAAGAGAGGCCCTCTAAGACAAACTAACTTTAACATGAACAGGCCTTTGTTAGCTTGACATTCCCCTTCCATTTAAAAAATTGTATGCAAAGTAAATGTTTGTGCACATGTGCTTTTATGCACTATGGACTGACATATCAATAGGAGGATGCAATAATTATGGAAAATGTCTTTAGTGAGCCTAGGCCTACCTATCAACAAAACTGAAACATGGAATTTTAACAGTTTGAACATGGGAACATTTGTTAGACCTTATCTACTACCATAGGACTACAACAGCTGTATTACACTTGGTAATCATACTTTCAATTCATATCATACCCACGTCTTCCAACAGTTTAATAAACAGGTATAATACCAAGACTATACCTCCATTAGACTGACTACAAACAAAAAAGTAGGTCTACTGTATTAATTAGGTTTTTCCTATCAGAGTCATTAGGAAGCAATGATCCTAAGCAAATATATGATAAAGGGTTGATAATAAAATAAATATGAGATTGTACCTGGAATTGCAACCTGCTTAAATGAAGCAGCATGGCTCGAACCTGAAAAATTAAATGACAAGTCTTACTTATTTGGAGTATGTTTTATACAAACTGTACTACAAGTCATTAGGAAAGAGGAATATCAAACCCAGGATGTGCAATTTAGGTGTTGGGTACGTAGGTTATATGACGTTGAGAAATTATGTCCTTACTTCAAGATGCATATTAGGTCGAGGTATACATGTCGCTAGCCCTATGAAAATTTCAATGGCGTTATGGGTTTAATCCACTACCTTTAGGCATAGACAGCAGAAAATCAGGAATCAGCAGCATATATATTCTAAATTACATTATCACACTTTAGGTTCATTATTGTGTTCCCACCACATACCACATCCCTATGTAAACATTATTGTATATTTTTAATATTTAATCACCCTGCTTTCTTTAATGCCAACTGTTTATAATTATCTGATATGTGTATTTAGCCAAGGTTAGGTTTCACGACAATCTTTCTGAAGATGAACTAATAAAGTTTGAAATATAGAATCAATAATGGCTTGTATCACTTTTTTAAGAGTTTGTTTCATTTTATGTTATTACAGATATTTATTTAGTTTATATATTTTGAAGCTTGCGGTACACTACGTAAGTAGTTCTGAAAAGAACTGTTGTAGTTGAGAAGGTCGCAACGTTTCGATTGAGTTGCTTCAATATTATTCTCCTGAAGACAATTGAAGCAACTCATTTTTGGTATTAAGAATGTGGTGATTCAACTGTATTTTCATTTCATTTATTTATTCGACCAAAAGAACAAGAATGAGAACAAACAACAAAACAGATGGTCAGGAAAAAACTAAAGCGACAAAAGTCACTATGACTCACGAGTCAGTTATTCCCACATAAAATAAATCTATATATTATATACAAAACATAAAATACAAATAAAACAAGAAACAACAGTAAGACTTCAAAAAGGATTACAGTCATTATAATGAAAGTTAAAATTTAAAAGCTAAAATTTTAAAATTAAGTGAAAAAATTAAGTAATAAAAAACTTTAAATAAGAAATTGACACATTGCCATAATTGTTTTAAAAAGGTTAAACAGTACAATACATTGGTAATAATAGTTGGTAATAATAATAATAATGATAATAATAATGATTTTATTTATATATTTATTTTAACAATATTTTACGAGGGTGGTCCATCCAGCCGGAGCTGACCATTAGGGATCCCCAATACATAAAACAAGTAACAAAGGAAATATACATAAACAGAGAGATTAAAAGTAATAATAATGAAATACTTTAACCCCAAAACCCTAATTGCAATAAAGCGATTTCTTGAAGTTAGAAATATAAGTATTAAAGGAACAAAGGAAAGCAAGATCTTTAATATGTAAAGGAAGTGAAGTCCAAAGAACAGAGAACTGGTGAACTGGGGAGAATTGAAGAGCCACTGTCCACGCGAAAGAATGTCTAAAAGAGATAAATTCAGTATGACGAGCATTAAAGGAGAGATTAGAAGTTATACTAGTACAATTATTATAGCCAAATAATAATAATTATTATATAAATATTATTGAGGGCCCATTGGTAGTTTTTTTTTCCAGCAATATGAAGTTGGAAATGATTTAAAATTATTTCTAGACCTATTTAAAGTGGGCCCTTATTAGCCCTAGACATCAGTGCTTTGCACTGGCTGTGCTGCACATCCCTATGCCACTGGCTGACCACACCACCACATGTAAGTGTTCATGATACCGGTGGAAGAAAATGTTGCATTCGAGCGCTAAGCTGGCAATTGAAATGATATTATAGGTGGTGTTGGCTAGTTTCCAAATGATGTTTACTAGAGACTTGGGAGTCAGAATTTCTAATGATTTATACAATTCTTACACAAAGTTCAAAACACTCCAATATAGACAACATTTGTCATGATCGTGAGACTATCTGTGTCAGAGCACTTAATAAAATATTCAAATCATTGTTAAATTGACTTCAATTTTTCTTGCGATTACAACATATACAATGTCAGAATTTATATTCTGATTGGCTGGCTTCTTTCCCACTATAATCCTACCCTTGGTGGTTGGTGTTCCACAAAATATTTGATCTGATGATTCATGATTCTTTCTTCTAAACAAACATCTACTTCGTGCAAGATGGAGAAAATTTTAAGACAAAAAATATCAGTATGCGGCAAAATTTTATTTGCACCCCGCCCTCCCATAAAATTAGCCCTAATTGAAAAATAGGCAAAAGATATTCCTCCTGCTGTATAAATTGTTAGAGTTTATAATGAAATTTAGCTTTTCTTTTTATTAAACTATACTTCTTATTTAAATTCTGCAACTAAATTACAGTATACGATGGGTCATTACCATAAAATGGCACTACGCTGGCGATACAGTAGTGTGTTGACAATTAAGTCAAATGTATTTTGTAACAGATGAGTACATTTTATGCTTTTATAATACGTTTACTATTACTGAACATACTACAGCAATAATTATTTAAATAATTTAAATATAAAATATAACATTTTCCAGATTATTTTAACTGTTACTTCAAATTATTATATTTCAAATAACACAACATATGTTAACAGGAAACGAGGGTTAAGTTGATTTGAAACCTCCCACACCTTTATTTATGACCATTATGCAGAGAAACATACCCTGTGAATACTGTCGTAGATTAGTTGACCTCCGTAGTCCCATATCCGTAATGAATTATCCATTATAGTTTCGCCTTTCATTACTTGTACAATCTTTGTTAGCACAATGGCATCTATCCTTTTCAACTGTGAATCTTCAAAGAAAAATTAAAAATTAATTTTTGGATATTAAAATAAAGGAATGCATTGTGTAAATTTAACATCTGGTATCATCACCAATACAAAGCATCTTTAGTATTATCAACATCATCCCTAATAAATATTATAATCACTAACATCATTATTAACTCATCCTCATAATGAGACAGTCTATGTAGAGCATTTTGTGTGTGTGTCTGTCTTGTGAAGGGATTGCCACTTTGAAGACTAAGACTAGTCCACTGTTTGGCATGTTGTTGGCCCTAGTGCCTAATACCGGCAATACAATTAAACTCGCGTATTAAATTTGACTGTGCCTAAATTGAATAACTTCTACGTCGATCTTATTTTAAATGATGAGTACATTTTATGCTTTTATATACGTTTACTATTACTGAACATACTACAGCAATTAGTTCAGTAATTATTATTTGAACAAATTAAATTTAAAATACAACATTTTCCCGATTATTTTAACTGTTACTTCAAATTATTATATTTCAATAACACAACATATGTTAACAGGAAAAGAGGCTTAAGTTGATTTGAAACCTCCCACACCTTTATTTATGACTTGAGTGGACTTGAGGACTTGCTTGGCGGTTAAAATAATATGTGATATGACGTCATCGTACCCACATATGGGCACATCACATTTTTTTGTCACATAAAATTTGGTAGTGTAGACAATGCTTAAATCAAACAATATTTCAATAGCATTTTGAATTTGACTTCAAGTTCAAGCTTAATTAAGTTATGATAATATTAATACTTACACACTAACAATAAAGGTAAACACTAAAGCAATCTTGCTATATATGACAACAGCATTAGCTCTTTATTTCATTTTCACCAAACAGTCAGTGATTTTGAAAATAATTGATCTAAGGATGCTTAAATTAGGTTTCGTAAAGAGCTTTAAATGATTGTTCATACCTTCCACTGGTGATGCTGATGCAGTTTTCTGAAATGAAATGATTAATCTGGTTAATACTGAAAACCTTACATGGAAATAGTTTTAGTTTTTAAAAATTTTTTCTACCAATCAGCAGCAAGTCTCACTTTTCAATCATATTAAGTATTTCCCTGTTTGGACCCTCTGCAGATATAAAGGCCTGTTTATACTTGCAACAATAACAAAAAAGGATTGATTTGTCAAAATAAATCGTTATCGAATCGTCCTAGTGTAAAAACTTTTCTCACTTCTTATATTTTCTATATGAACAATTGCTATTTAGATTTTATCGTTATCGTTGTAAGTATAATTCTTCTGATGAAGTTTGAAGCACCTTAAACCAAAATGTGAGACATTCTCCACTGAAAACAGTTCTTTTTAGAACTACTTACATGGCGTAAATTCACCATGCAAACCTTTAATCAAATTATCAAAAATAAAATGAAATATTACTTGAGCTGTAATATCATTTGTACTGGTAATAATTGTGCTACTTTGAAAACATTAAATTAAAATTACTAGGAATAACCGAGTATTAAAACAAACAAATATTTTTAACAAAATCAATAAGATTACTACGACCGACCATTAACATCTATACAATCATTATTTTTAATAAATTATCAAAAATGAAATTTGATATTACTTTAGATTTTCCACCATTGGTACTGGTATCTGTTTCCCTTCGTTTTGTTTTTTCAACAGCAGAAACATCTGAAACAACATTTTCTTATGTAAAAATTTGGACTTGATCCCACTGCCGCACTTGTAAAATGTTTGGAAGCTTCCGTACAGCCCTTATTCAAGATTGGCGCTTATAAAATAATATTGGCATGCTGCTTTCCATGCCCATTCCCATGTTACCTACCTCATGTATCCCACAGTTCGATAATGTAATGTACTTCGATTTTATATAGCGTTTTATACCGGAGTCTCAAAGTGCTTGAGGTGTGAACTAGTTTGTACAGTAACTTTTGTAAGTACCACTATACGTCATCGTAAATACATAGAGGGTAATATTATACTCTTGATTAAGCAGCGGTACTTAGCTATAAAAAACCATATGTGGTGCAGCATGTATTCATGTTTGGTGCTTATTCGAGAGTGCTACTTTAAGTATTAGGTATAGGATTTATGGCAATATGAAGAAACTGTCTAGATAATCCAATCTAGCTTTCTAATAGACTGTTTCATTACAGCATTATTGAAATTAATTCAAAATTTATGAATTATTGTGTAATTCTTGATGAAAGCAATGACTCGTCATGAAAAAACTGTGGGACTGTCACTATTGACACAGTCTATGTGCTCAAATTTCATACATGTGTCAAGCAGTAGTTTCAATTTTTAATTTTCTCCCTTTTTTTCTTCTCTCTATATTTTTTTCCTGAGGGAGTAGCTCTAGTCCCTATTCCCCCTGGATCCACCCAACTTTTCTAGGCATATCTTTTCTGTATAGATCTTGCTTGGACAAAGTTTGCAAAAGATCAAAGTATAAAAATTGGAGAGTAGAAAATCCCTGAACAAACACATAGGACAAACGTGGCATCAGCAGTTCAGCAGATGGAGGCATGAAAATGAGACAGAAGTAATATATTTTCCACATTTTAAATCACTCTTTTCTGATTTCGAAGAATACTTGTTTGTACCTACTTTTACTTATTTTAATAATTATTTAGAGCAACCAAACAGAGAAAAATTATCAGATGAATTATACTGACAATTCTCTACATTATTATAGTTATTCATGGAAAGTTATCACGCAATCATTCAGTACATACCTTTGTCTAAATTTGGCCTTTTCAATGTTGATGCTTCTCTGTTACCTACTGAGGAAATAGAAATTGACAATTTAGTGCATTAGCAGCATCTAAAATAGACAATCAGTGTAATTTTCCTACTCTGGAGAGTGGCTTAGCTATACGTTTCATACGTATTGAACTTAAACAACCACCTGTTCTCCTTAAAAATGTGAGGAATACCTTTAATAGTGCGTTCAATGCATGATGGAGTTCAAGACTTTTCAATAATTCACTGAAATCCTCCATATTTCCATCAAAGATTTGATTCCTTTCTTCAAGATCAATGATCATACTCCAACAATCAGTATACTTCTTATTATAAAATCCACCAATTTTTTTTACATCAGCTGAAGTCAGTTTCATCCCAAATTTCATTACATTTTGTCTGTGATTTGTGAACTGTTTCGGAGTGGTTCCTTCCTTAACCTCCGGAAATGATGGTAGTCTTTTTTTAATCTTGCTTTGAACACCAAAATGTTCAGTTATGCTGATGGTATCATGCAGAATAGCAATTTTGTTTGCATTCAAAAGATCAAGTGCAACCAATTCATTCAGCAACTCCATTGTGCTACTAATTTCTGATAGTCTGCCAGTTGTCACACGGTCTCTGAACAACACTTTCAACATAGGAAGACAACTCTGTTCATCATACCACTGTGAGACATCCAGTTTAAGAAAGTTGAATTGATTTTCCGTCAATCCTTTGAAATTAAATAATTTATAATTTAAAATATCAATTATATCTACATTTTGTAAAAGTAGAATGTTGGATCTATATTACTAAAAATGGCCCTAAGTAAAAAGAGATGACAACTGACACACTGCAAATACCCACATACTTATAGTTAGGTTGACAAATCCAATAGTGGCAAACATTTTAGAAAGTAGAGGGCCCATTATAACATAATCAATCCACTGATGGTGCCCACGGAACTATGCAATCAAAGTGTGCATCTTGGCTCTGTTCAGGGCCACCAAAGGTCTAGTTGGGGAGTCTAGTGGGCAAAGCCCATTGGAAGTGATGGACATTCAATAAATTCTATTATAAGTCAATCGTGACATCATCACTGTAACTCGCAATGCTATTTGCCTATTCCCCAGCGTCCAATAATTTTTTATTATTGGACGCTCGGCTTGATTTTTTAAAGGTTCGTGTGCAAAAAAAAAAATCCTCATTTTTTCGTCACCACCGCGAATACATCGCGCACCGCGATAAAAATTGAATTGTAATTGAAAATTGCTTTTGTAAAACAAGCTTAATTAGAACCCGAAGAAAGTTACTTCAAATTCAATATTAAGTATGAACAATTAAGGAATTCATTGAATCAATGGACCCTCATAAACACAACAAAGTGAACGTTTAATAGAAATATTCTAGACATATTTTAAAGACTCAAGGAACACATTTAGATCTAGACCTACGGTCAGGCAGGCCGACCCCGGCTCCCTACTATTACTAGGCATAGGCCGTAGCCTGGCCTAGTTATGAAATCATTGCACGATTTTACTTGTCTGCATGCACCGACAAAAAGGACGTCAGTCACTCTATTCCCTCTCGAATGCTGAAATGTTTATTTCTTTGACAAAAGTTTATCAATATAGCATTACAAACAAGTTCTTTCTAACACAATAGTTAGGCCTATTCATCGTATCCGTACTGTAGTGCTGATGTTGGATGAGTTAAACGCATACTGCAGGAGCAAAATTCAGAATACGCACAACTAAATGTAAATACGCACACGTATACTGATCATATCACTATAGCAACCGATAGCTGCTACAACAGTTGGTAATATAAAAAACTAAAATTAAAAGACGGCGATTGACTTAAAAAGCAATTAGTAAAGCATGCATCTTACACTAAACGGAAAATTATTATACTTAGGTTAGATTTAATGCATTCAAAAATTTCCTTTGGACCTACTTGCAGAAATTTTTCCAAGCATTAAATCTAGCCTTCGTACAATAATTTTCCTATAGTGTACTATGCGGAGCTCTACTAATTGCTTATTATCACACTTTAGGTTCATTATTGTGTTCCCACCACTTACCACATCCCTGTGCCAACATCATTGTATATCATTAACATTTAATCACCCTGCTTTCTTTAATGCCAACTGTTTATAATTATCTGATATGTATTCGCCAATTGACAAAAATAGAAAATTTACAGATACTTGATACAAGCCATTATTGATTCTATATTTCAAACTTCCTGAAGATGAAATAATAAAGTTCGAAATATTGAATCAATAATGGCTTGTATCAATTTTTGGAGTTTGTTTCATTTTATATTACAGATTATTTAGTTCACAATGAAGCTGTTTTTTGAAAGTAAAAATGTGTTTTTGAGATTTTCGAAATTCAGAGAGGTTGTTCCATATATTTACACCTTGGTATGAAATGCTTTGTTGGCTTTAGTAAGTTCTCTTAAAATTTAATTTAATTTTTGGTAATAAGGGTGTGGCGTGATCAACTGTATGGAAATAACTGTCAAAGATAGATTGCAAGAGTTTACTGTGGAACTTAAACATGAATGTAACAACTGTTTTTAATTAAGGATCAATGTTGAGAGAACAGGTTGATATTTGAAAAGGGGTGAAGATGAATGTTGATAGTTGACATCGAATATGATACGTAAGGCTTTTTCTGGATTAAATGTAGGTGGTTTATTAAATTTACTACAGTCAGATGAACCCCACCTAATAATCACATATGTCAGCAGTGGGAGAATGAGGGCATTATATATTTTCTTTATTTATTTATTCAACTTTCTTTATACCGGATGCCACGCACAATTCAAAGGCACTGGTTTTTGTTGTGGTCTAGTTAAAACATAAAAATACAAAAGAGATTGGAAAATCAGTCAAAAGGACGTAATTACAAAAAACAGAAGAGACCAATTAATTGCTGGAATTCATGTAGTTAGTTCCAGTTCATGAATGGCCGATAACAAAAGGTATGTTTTCCTTGACATTATGTTCCATTATGAAACTAAAAGATGAGTGTTATTATCACTTTCAAGAAAAACGAACATATTAATTGAATAGGAAATTGCAAGTCCTTGAAAACATTTGAAAGTTACGAATAATAATTGATCTATCTATTTGTTACTCAGAATTTGCCAGTTCAACAAGCTTAAAATATCGTTAATTGGTGTTCTAATATCGCAAGAAAGTAAAATCCTTCCTAAGGTGTTTAAAAGAACTTGTAGACTGTTAGATAATTGGATGGAGCAGTTTGACGACACTCAAGAACAATATAATCAAATAAAGGTAAAACCAAAGTTTTAGCTAACATCAATTTATAGAATAAATTAAGGTACACATAATATCTGATACGGCGAATAATAAGAATCATTAACCATTTTAGACACTTTCGAAGATAAGCTTTCAGTTTGTTTACTCCATGTAAGCTAAGGGTCAAAAGTAACACCCAAGTATTTAAAATAATTAACTCTTTAATCAACTCTTTCAATTTTATTAGTATTCCATACACAGCAGAAGGTCCCGAGTTTGAATCCAGTTAACATTTATATATACTGCAAGACAATTTAGAGGTTATCTCTTCATTTGTAGTAATGTTTGTATTCTAAGTTTTATTTTCTAAAATACAGATTCTGATTTAAATTTGTAGGTAAGATGATTTTCTGTAATTTTTTTTTTGTTACATGTTGAGGGTCCCAAATGATCAGCTTCTGCTGGATATGGTACATCCTCAATAAATATGATTCAAGTAAAATAAATAAATAAACATTTCTGTATATCAAAATTCTTCTGTTCCATTAAAATTCATTTATATTTGAACATTAAAGAACAGGAATCTACGAGTGAAAATAGGTGCCCCACCTGGTATTCTCTTTGCATAGGCAGCCGAAAAAAAACTGCCTGTAAACGGTGAGGTGATTTGTGGTGTTTCTTTTCTGGAAAATTTAGGTCCACAGTAAATTTTGGTTCATTCCTCATGTAGCACCTTAAGCACTACTGCAGTAAATTTGTGCACTATATAAATCTTATTATTTATTATTTTAAGGTCCCGGCTTTGAATTGCGATTGGGAAGGCTGGGAGGCACCTATTTTTTCACACTCCCAAATTCAACTTAACATATATACATATATATCCATTACACAATAGGTACGGCTAGAAACAAATAGTTGCATATAATATAAATCAAGATAGCCGTTAACACTATTTAACAGTGTTAACGGTTATCTTGATATATATATATATATATATATACGTTTGCTTCGACAAATAAAATATATACCCAAGGATTGATGAGGCGTATCTGTAACCAAGAATGGATGAGGCGTATCCGTAGCCGAGGATGGATGAGGCGTAACCGTTGCAGCTAAGGATGGATGGGAAACATTTGTAGCCAAGGATGGATGAGGCATATCCATAGTTGATGATGGACTAGGTAAGTCTACAGTTAAGGATGCATGTCGAATATCTGTAAGTAGATGAATTGTATTTTATTGTATAATATTCAAAAGCAGTTTTTTTGACAATGTAATGTTCAATTAAATCATTCTTGTAAATTTTTTGTTTTCAATTTCAAAATTATTGAATAAAGTAGTGCAAACTGGTGTGCTTTACACTAAAAATTAAAAAAAATTAAAACAAAGTAAAATATTTCTGCTGCTCTAGCCAAATATGTGTAGGAAATTATTCAGAGTAAAATGTATGTACAGTAAATGTGCATTATCCACCAGTTATCAGCTTGCTACAGCATGTGCGTCTTGACCAAATCTAAAAAATCATAAGTTATAATTATAATATTCTGAAAATCAAAGTTAACAGCTTTCAGATCGACAAAATTCAACTGTGTGAAATTTAAGCAATTAAAGATAATTACATCCCAAGAGAATTGACCATAATCATTATTATGTAAGCAGGCCCGCATCCAGTGGGGGTGCGTACACACTCCCCATTTTGAAAAACGTCCAATAAATATAAATAAAAAACCTAATTATGCCATTCAATTGTTCCCCTAAATAATAAAATGAATTTTAAAAATCCTATTACTGTACAGTATTAAGATTGTGTTAAACAGAATGTACTGTAAAAATAAGTAAAGTTAATCTTTATGATAAACTAAGTATTTTCACACTTTTTGTTTTTTTATTTTTTGGCCAAATTCAGGCTCAAAATGTTCTTATTTTGTTCTTATGTTACACATTTTTAAATATAGAAAATTGTTATTGTATAGCAGCATATTAATGTACATACTGTATTACAGAGTGTATAATTCAGACCTTACGGCAAATGAGATAACAATAATATTTGTATAAATAAATTTCTATAATTAAAAACAGAAAACTCAGCCTCAGTTTGTTATTTTTAAGAAATTTCAGTCTCCGTTTTCTTATAAATGTGTTCTTACAAAAAAACAAAAAAAGTGTACTGTATTGCTAAACTGACTAAGGAAATCCTGTTTGTTGATCATAAACTGCTCTAGTTATATGAGAAATAACATGGATTTTTTGCCAATTTCAGGCTTACATTGTTCTTATTGTTTTCAAATTTACACACTTTTCAAAGATACACAATTATTATTGTAGAGCAGTTAAACTGTACTGTATTAAATTCGACATGAGAAGTACAGTGGATTTTTTGCAGATTTCAGGATTAAATTGTTCTTATTTTGTTTTTAAATTTACACACTTTTCAAAATATACACAATTATTATTCTAGAGCAGTTAAACTGTACTGTATTATAGAGGGT